CACTCTCCTTCCCATGTCTCTTCTTGAAGCTCCATTGATGTTGAAGCTCTCCCTTTGGTGTTGGTGGCTAGTACTTGGTTGCATGGCTTGATCCCTTCTTCAAGAACTTTTTGATTCTCTCTCTTCAATTGGTGCAAAAAAAATCCTGCAAAATCTTGTTTCCCTTTTTAAACCTAAAGAATCAATCTTTTGGGTTTGTTTTTTGGTTTTCATGGGTTAGTTTGCATCAAGAAAAAGAGAGAGACTTTATCCGCCGATTGAGCTGGCGAAGTTTTATGTAAGAAAACAAGTTTAACACTTTGAAATCTTTTGGAAGATTTGGGTTTAGTTTCATTTTGACCAAAGAAGTCACCTTTGGTTTCATCAGTGACCTTTTATAAGTTCTTGAACTTGTTTTATTTTTGCCTCTGGATGCAGCTAATGCGATGATACTTTAATAAGAAGAAATTAAAACTTCAGTTTTGGCAATTTTTGGTTCTTTTTATTGGCTTAAAACTCAAAAACTAACATACAAGAACTCGACTTATTTTATTTAACGAACCGATATCTTAACCGAGAGTTCCGGTTGAGTCAAGATTAATTCCAAGATTTCAAAAACAGAGCACTCTTCAAAGAGGGGACATCTGAAGGTCATAATCAGGTCCAAGCCTAACCGAGTTAACGTAATCATTCGTGCAATGATCCGACAGACCTGGAAGTAACAGCCCCATGAGCCTAAACAAGATCCTAAACCATCCTTCTTTATAATCCGGTCCATAAATGTACCCCATTGTCAAGCCTCTAACCAACTCCCAGGCAGCGTTTACATGACCAAGAATCGCGTAACGCAGACCGTAAGGGTTTGGATCCGGCTCATCCTCTGCTTTCTGTCAAACATACAAACAAAACCATCATTAGTTAAGTCAATTTCACATTCCAAAATTATGAAATCTCTAAGTTGGTTTTGAGTGATGAATAGCATTACTGCCTCGTTGTAGAAGCTGTCGTAGTAAAGACAGAGTCCAAAATGTTTGTAGAGGAAAGTCTTGTCATCGTAAGGCAATCTCGGGACAAGATCGTCGCAGTATACAACTCGAAAGTATCGGTCCACGGGGTGATTCAGTTGAGCTTTCATGAAATTCCCGATCTCTCTGTTTCCGATTCTCGGTTGTCCAAACGTGTAAACTCCAAGCAGCCTCTTCATCATCTCTGTCTCCTCTTTCAACACCAACAATGTGGGAAACAATATCGCTAAAGCACCACCTAAGCTGTGACCCGTAACTACAAATTGGGCATTTTCATGTTCCGAAAGCAAACGTTTCAGAGTTTTTCGGACAGCGTAGTAGGCGCTTCTCTCTACCATATCTAAGAGATTATTTTCATGATTCTCTTCCTCGGATGAGGTTCGTTCGAAGAGATGGTAACGGAAAGTGGGAGTGTCGTCTCTATTGCCTAAACCCATTGCTTCGATGAAACCCATGTGAAGCTTCCCCACATTGGGGATTTCGTACCAAGAATAGTCGACATCGGTTCCCCAATCGTCTGCATCAAACGGTTCAGTGCCTCTGAAGCTTATTAGTATCAAGTTTGCATCTTTCTGCTTATCAGTAAGTATAAAAACTTGTGTAGACATCTGCTTCTGATAATCTACCAAAATAGACCAAAAAACACATTTACAAAATGTTAAGACTGTGTATTAAGCAATGTAAAAAAAGCTAAATCTTGCAATCTAATTCTCACCATTCCAACAATCCAAGAACTCCACCAGATTCATCTGCAGACATAAGGAGATGAAAAAAAAATTAGAAAATTGGAAACTTTTGTTATCATGAAATGTGTTTAAAGTCTTTGTTTTTTAGCTAACTTGCCTTCCAATGGAGATTAACTACATTTTCAACAACCTTAGCGTTCTCATACGCAAGCTTCGAAGCCATCACACACAAATCCATAAGCCCACGACTTCCCGGTTCGATCCTAACGCTTCCTGAAGAACCCGAATTGACCGAATCAATGCTCTCCAAGTGTTCGACGAAATTCCAACCTTTATAAAGATCAATTCTCCCATCAAGTTGCCCAATTGTACTAACAAACGTCACAGTGCCTCTTTCTGGTATCACAACTTTCGCTGCAAACACAATCAAAATCATCCAAAACTCATAAAAATGCGATTTTTTTTTTTCCTTTCTAATTCAATCAAAGTTCGAAACTTTATCAGTACCTCGAATTAACCCGAAAAGCAAACCGAAGAAGCCACCATTTGCAGAGAAGAGATTGAGGAAAAAGTCAACGATGAAACCTGTGTATTCCATAGGTGTACGGAGAAGTCTGATGATCTTACGGACCAGAATCGAAACCACGATTACCCAACGGTGATCTTTGGCTTCCTCATCGATCACCATCGAGCTCCTACTGCTGTACTCAGGCGATTCCAGGAACTTTTCTTTGCTCGTTTCGTCTCCTCTTACACCGTACCGGAACAAGTCAGTGAACCCACCTCGGTGAGGCCGAACGATCAAGTAGTTCGACCCATTACCCGGATTCGAACCCGAACGCGAT